AGCATTTCAGAAGCAATATTGGCAGATGGAACACAACCCTCAAAGTAAATAAATGAGTATTACGGCATTCCTTAAACGAACAGGAATGTTGGAAACCACTGGCAATAACCCCAGCATTTGTTCTAAGTGCTTCATCTTACAGTTACAAAACTGTAAACCTACTAACAAAAATCCTCTAAGCTTCACTGCCTAACTGGACACCTTTAAGACATAAAAACATGGTTGCCAGAATCTCCAAACGACAGAGCATCATTTGGGCCAACAAAGGGTTCTGGAAATTGGAGTCAAAACATGTGAAGGGGGGATGTAGCTGCAAGATACTAGCCCTCCCCCCTAAATGACAGAGAAGAAAGAGTGCAAGGCAGGCTTGAACTGGGAACTTCAGCGCTCTCCCAAAGTTTGCTACAAGATGACCGCAGTCTGGCTGTCTACTCCAGCCTGGGTCTGGCAAGCAGGGAAAACCACTGCTATTGGCAGAAGCTGCCTTGACCCTCCGCTTTGTGCTTCAGCCCACGAGGGCCTCTGGCCTCAGTCCGATCCTGGCTGGACACCGAGAACTCAGGCCACCTGGCTTTCGTCCCCTTTGGCTCCTCACTCACCTGCTTCAGGCACTGCAGAAGAACTCCAAAGAGGAGCGAGTAAGACAGGTGGCCTGTGCGGATGGGGGCGTTCTGAGGGGGGCCGCTTGGACTTCCCGAGGGAGGGGACAGAGTGCTGGCAAGCTTCTTCTCGGGCTCCCTGCAACGCAAGAGAAGACCATCAGCCTGGCCTGGTGCCCAGAGCTCCCGGGAGCTTCCCGTTCCCTTCAGAAGGCCCAGCGCCTTCCAGGCCACCCCCAGGGAGCCTCAGGCTGGGACGAAGGAGGAGCATGTGGGAGCAGAGGCAGCCGCTGCCCCCATGCTCTGGAAAGGGAAAGGCTGCAGCCAGAGGAAACCTACGCCGAATCGCAGAGGCAGTAGGGGCTGAACCTCACAAGGCCGTCTTTGGTGGGGAGGCCCAGGCGGTGGAGAAGAGCGTCGGCGCGAAGTGAGAGCAAGAAGTCGAATACCTAAAAACGGAAAGAAGCATCCAGTGTGAGAGCAAGAAGGGAAAGGGCATCGTTCCCAGCCATTCCAAGTCTGACTACGTGGAAAGAGCCCAATGTTCCTGAAAAGCATTCGGACAGCATGAGGTGGGCAATGAGAGGGAGAGGAACTACCCCCACCCCCACCCAGGCACAGGCTCCCTGCAAAGGTCCACGTGCTGTTCAACCTCATTCCTCTTGCATCCTCCTCGTCAGGCTCAAACCTCCACAACAAACCCCTAAGGCAGGCAAGGGGGACCCCCCTCAGGGGCACAAATGCCTTCTCAGAACTCGTGGGTTCCTCTTCCCCCCCCCCCCCCCTGCTTCCTCCCTCCAACTTTTCCTGCAAATCTCTGGGTCTGGAAAGGGGTCCGAGAGGGTTTCCACCTGCAGGCGGATGCTGCTGGCAACAGGGAGGCTGTACTTGTGCTTATAGTGGAGCTGCAGGTGATGGACGAGCATCTCGTAGACTCGCATGGCGTGGCTGGCAGGCAAGCTGTACAGCTTGGTCTAAGAGGAGGAGGAGGAGGAGGAGGAGGGGAAGAGGTTTTGTCACGCTGGAAAGAACGGCTGAGGACCATAACTGCACTCTTGAAAATATTCCCCTTGCACAAGGGAAAGGAAGGCTGCCTGGGACTTTACCTGGAAAATGACAAGTAAACCAACGACTGCCGTCTTCACGTCCTCTAAGGAGGCCGAGTGAGAGAGCAGGTCTCTTTCTTCCAGGTCAGCAGGAGGCAGCAAAGAGTGGGAAGCCACCTTCACAGGAAGAAAGCACAACGGGGGCTTCAAGGGGCGGAGAGGGCCAGGCTCCCCCCCCCCCCCCCGAGCCCCGAGAGCCACTGGTGCCGCCACTGAGAAGTGCCGCTGGGGAGGACGGGCAAGAGGAGGGGCACGAGGGGGTGAAGAGGAGACACCCCCCTCACCTGCTAAACCTGAGCCTCCAGGCCAGGAGGGACCAAGGTGAGAATGGCTTCTCTGAGGCTGGGTCCTCACCGGGTGACCAAGTGGGATTCACTCAACGCAGGCAACAGACATGGTCAGAACTGCCATTTGCTATGATTGTGTGAGATGTCT